AAAAAAAAAAAAAACCTCATAAAACAGTTTCCAGAATTATAATAAAAGGAACACCTGTGTACCCAGTACCCTGCTTAAGAAACAGTGCATGAGTGCTCCTGGGAACACCCATGGGCCCTTCACAGTCATATCCCCTTGCCCTGCCCACCAGAAACCACCACCATCTTGGGTTTTATGCCAGTCATTCCCTTGCTGTTCCTCACGGGTCCCTGTCTTCATATGTGTCTGTATTTGTCTACTTGGGCTGCCATAAGAAGAAAATACCACAGACTGCTGGCTTAAATAACATTTATGTATTTTCTCATGGTTTCTAGAGGCTAGGAAGTCCAAGATCAAGGTTCTAGCCATTTGGCTTCTGGCCAAGCCTCTCTTCCTGGCTTTAGGTGGCCTCTTTCTCACTCTATCTTCATGTGGCCTTTCCACATGAAATGCTTGCATGAGGAAGGGTCGGTTGAGAGCACCAGTGCTCTGGTGTTTTTTTGTTTCAACATAAGACATTTTGGAGGGAGGAATATAAACATCCATTTCATAACAATATCCTTACATAATATATTCAGCTTTGAAAAACTGAATAGCAAATTATTCAAATCCAGCTGAGCAAAGGGCAATATTGCCACTTTTCAATACAGACTTCCAGGAAAAGGACTCCAGCTTCAGCTCCCCTAAATGTACAAGGGCCTGGGACTTAGAAAAGCTGTCAGATCCATGGCATCTGGCAGGGCTCTTTGGGGCAGGCCCAAGAAAGCTAAGGCCAAGGGAATGAGCTGCTCAGAATTTCCTGTTCTAAGATCACCAAAGCTTAACTCCAGCTCTTGGGAGTAGGTGGAAACAAACTACTTCCGTGGGGTACAAGGAGAGTCCTGAGCTGGCCCAGGCTGCAGGGTATGATAGAGAGTACAACACTTCGTCAGCCATGGGCAAGGCAGGCCAAGGCCCTGGCTCACCTGGTGTTTGCACCTGGAGGTCCAGTGGGGCCACCATCCTGGGATTGCCGTTCATCATTTCCTATAGATTCCTGTCACTCCTTTTCTCTACTAGATCTTCTCTTTCCTAAGCCAAGTCCTCCTCTTTCTTGGTAAATTCCATCATGTCTTAAAGAGTACAACCTTCACTAGCTTCTTGTAAATGGGTGCATGTAAGGTAAATTTGTATACCTCTCATCTGGAAGTGTCATTAATCCACCCTTATACTTCATTAATAATTGCCTAGATAGGAAACTCTTAAGTTGTGGGTAAGTTTCCTTTGGAATTTCAAAGATGTGGCTCATTGCTTTCATGTTGCATTACCGGTCACAGGAGATCTGGGTGCAGCCCCACAAGAGTGGGCAAGAGCAACTTCTGAGGAAAGAACATGCATGATGAATGAGTCCCAGAGTTCACTAAGGGCTGCAAATCAGACATGTTCCCTTAGGCAGCATGGAGAGCCCTCGTTGAACACATTGGGCATTCAGCATAGGCCCAAGAAGGGCCACACCTTAGTTGTGAGGGCAAACTACTGTGTTTAAATAACACAATAATTTGACAGAACTCACCAGTAAAGCCACTTTCTCTGTTGCAGTTGGGTGGAAACTGATCGTCAGTTGCAATTATGCTGTGGTCACTGGTGTGTTAAGTTTTCCGCTCATGTTTCAGTCCATTGTCCTAATTCATATTGTCCTAGAAAGTCTATCCATTCATTTGACAAACATTTGTTGAGCATACACTATGTGTCAGACACTGTTCAAGGCATTAGGGATACAGCAGCAAGCAGATGCAAAATACCCTGCCCTCGTGTGCTTATATTCTAGTGTGGGAACATCTTTCCCCATCAGTTCACATGTATCCAGATCATTGTCTATAATGGTCTAGAATTTCACAGACTGCACATGCCATACTTTATTTAATCATTATTCCTTTGGCGGATGTTTAGGTTTTATTGTTACTAAATTATGCTGCAGTAAACATCATTACACTTACCTCTGTCTATTTTTGTAGGTTCATTCTGAGAAGTGAAGTTGTTGGGTCTAAGAGTATATTCACTTAAAATGTTGAGTGATACTGCCACATCCCCATCCAAAAATGCTGTGCCAGTCACACACCCACCAGTGGGGATCAAACATTCCAATTTCCCCATCTTTTCACTAGCTCTAGAAATTATTTGCCAAATGGATGGATGAAAAATGTCCTCATTGTGTTGTTTTATTTTGAAACAGCTCTGCTTTGTTGCCCAAGCTGGAGCGCAGTGGCACAATCACAGCTCACTGCAGTGTTGTCCTCCTAGGCTCAAGTCATCCTCCCACCCTAGCCTTCTGTGTAGCCAGGACTACAGGCAGGCAACACCATGCCCGGCTGATTTTTTTTATTTTTTTGTAAAGTCAGGATTTTGCTATGTTGCCCAAGCTGGTCTCAAACTCTTGGACTCAGGCAGTCCTTCTGCCTCAGCCTCTCAAAGTATTCCAAGCCTGGAATTACAGGTATGAGCCACTGCACCCAGCCTTCACTGGTTTAACTGGCACTACATCCAGTTAGGGATATTGAACATCTATTAATAACCTTGTTGGCAAATTTTATTTCTTCTTCTATGGATGTCATTTTTATTTTGGTTTCCTAATTCCCATTTGCTTGCAAAGTTCTAAGAAACTATAGCATATTTGTTAATAGCATCCTTCTCTGTAACCTATTGTCCATGCATCTATTTTCTTACCTTTTCTGTCATTTCAATGTGCTTGTGAGGAGGTGCAAATAAGTGTACTAAGTATGCCATCTTGAAATAGAGATCCATTAATTTTAAACAGCACTAAATTGCCTACTTTTCTAATATAGATTTATTAAAGGAAGATAAACATTTGGAAGTACAAGTACTACTGGAGAATTTTGTAAGACAAAAAGACAAAAAAGAAGACCAAGAAAAGAACACCGTTTCAGTGAAAGAAGAGCAAGAACTACCACCAAAAATAATTGACATTATTTATCCTGAAAGAGAAACCAATCAAGATGATCTAGTAAGAGAAAAGTTTAAAAGAAGCATGCGGAGAAATGACACGGATGACACACCTGGCAGATGCACTGCTCCCTACACGAAAGGCCCCCTCAGACAAAGAAGGCATTACTCATTCACAGAAGCAACTGAAAACCTGCATCATGGGCTTCCTGCTTCAGGTGGGCCAGCCAATGCCGGCAACACGAGGTGCAGTCATAGTACAAGCAAGCATCTCAGTAACAGAGAGGAAAGGGAGCTAGAGCATTCTGACAGTGGGTATGAGCCCTCATTTGGTAAGTCTTCCAGAATAAAAGTGAAAGATATAACTTTCAGAGACAAGAAAAGCAGTCTCATGGAAGAACTCTTTGGATCAGGCTACATCTTGAAAACTGATAAGTCAGGTTCTGGTGTTACAAAAGGCTCAGAGGAGCCTTTGCAAAGTAAGGAGTTGCATCACCTGCCTCCCAGTCAGGCCTCCGCCAGCAATGCATTCGGAGACTCTAAAGTAACTGTGGTAAATTCTATTAAGCCATCATCACCTACAGAAGGAAAAGAGAAAAGAATTATCTAAATATAATCAATATCCTAATGCATTCTGATTTGATATAATGCTGTTTATGTGCCTTGCATCTTATTTTTGAAATGTGTGAGAGAGGGAGTGTATGTCTGTGTGTCTTTAAGCACTTACATTGACTTTCGATAATTAAATTTTTGTTTTATTGCTAATCTAGTAAAAAATCATCCATTTTAGGCAATAACACTTTAAATACAAATTTACATCTTTACAACTGAAATATCCATTATCTTCTGGAAGACTGGTTTATTATATGGTTTTAGTATTCTGTGGGACTCCATAGCTAATAATTATAAGGTAGCCAACCCAAGACATATGCATCTCATACACAACAAAATGTATCAGCAATAGAGTTGAGTTGTAACTGAAAAACATGGAAGCAGGCCAGGTGCAGTGGTTCATGCCTGTAATCCCAGTATTTTGGGAGCCCAAGGCAGGGAGATTATTTGAATCCAGGAGTTCAAGACCAGCTTGGGCAATATGGTGCAACAGCATCTCTACAAATTACAAGAATTAGCCAGGTGTGGTGGTGTGTGCCTATAGTCCCACCTACTTGGGAGGCTGAGGTGAATCACTTGAGCCCAGGTCAAGGCTTCAGTGAGACGTGATCATGCCAATGCACTCCAGCTTGTGCAATCGGAGTGAGACCCTGTCTCAAAAAAACAAAAACAAAACATGGCAGCAGCTTTGAAAGGGAACAATATGATCAAAAGACTTTTTATTAAAAATATATATATATAGGCCAGGCGCGGTGGCTCACGCTTGTAATCCCAGCACTTTGGGAGGCCGAGGTGGGTGGATCACAAGGTCAAGAGATCGAGACCATCCTGGTCAACATGGTGAAACCCCGTCTCTACTAAAAATACAAAAAATTAGCTGGGCATGGTGGTGCATACCTGTAATCCCAGCTACTCAGGAGGCTGGGGCAGGAGAATTGCTTGAACCCAGGAGGCGGAGATTGTGGTGAGCCGATCGCGCCATTACACTCCAGCCTGGGTAACAAGAGCGAAACTCCGTCTCCAAAAAAAAAAAAAAAATATATATATATATATATATATATATATATATGTATATATATAGGCTGGGTGCGGTGGCTCACACCTGTAATCCCAGCACTTTGGGAGGCCAAGGTAGGTGGATCATCTGAGGTCAGGAGTTCAAGACCAGCATGGTCAACATGGTGAAACCCCATCTCTACTAAAAATACAAAAAATTAGCCAGGCGTGGTGGTTCACAGCTACTCGGAAGGCTGAGGCAGGAGAATCACTGCAACCTGGACGGCAGAGGGTGCAGTGAGCCAAGATCACACCACCACCCTAGCACCAAATATATATATATATATATAGTAATTACCAAGCTTAGTTTTATGAAAATCATTTTTTTTTTTTTTTGAGACAGTCTCCCTCTGTCACCCAGACTGGAGTGCGGTGATAACAATCTTGGCTCACTGCAACCTCCACCCCTCACGAAGTTTCAAGCGATTCTCATGTCTCAGCCTCCTCTGAGTGGGATTACAGGTGTGCACCACCACACCCAGCTAAGTTTTGTATTTTTAGTAAAGACTAAAAACGGTTTTGCCATGTTGGCCAGACTGGTCTTGGACACCTGACCGGGTGATCCGCCCACCTCAGCCTCTCAAAGTGCTGAAATTTACAGGCGTGAGCCACCACACCCAGCCATGAAAATCATTTTTGAGTTTCTCTTTTTCAGCTCAGCGGGGTATCCAATGTCCTGCCTTTGTAGGTGTTGCTTTCCTTGTGTACACCTGAGATACAGTATCATTTATTGAGATTTGTTGCATAACTGTACGTTGACCATTTTTCTGTTAATCTTGTTCTAAAAGCCATAATTTATTCAAGCTAGCTGCTCAGTCCTAACATATTTACTAAACTTAGGATATTTTAAATTAGGACTATAAAAAGGAGGCTATGCTCCCAGCCTCGTTTTATTTGGCTTGCCTTCATTTAGTTATAAGGGCAACTTGGTTATAATCTAGACCATACTATTTCCAATGATGTTTATGGTTTGGTGTATAATAGTAACATATTTTTAAAAATTAAGAATAGTAAATAAACTTTCAAAAGGGCGTAAAAGTCATTGTATTGATGGGAAAACAATTGTATTTAAAACCAAAGTTGGGTCAGACATGGTGACTCACACCTGTAATCCCAGCACTTTGGGAGGCTGAGGCAGGCAGATCACTTGAGGCCGGGAGTTCAAGACCAGCCTGGCCAACATGGTGAAACCCCATCTCTACTAAAAATACAAAAATTAAGGCTGGGCGCGGTGGCTCACGCCTGTAATTCCAGCACTTTAGGAAGCTGAGGCAGGTGGATCACAACATGGTGAAACTCTGCTAAAAAATAAAACTTAGCTGATATGTTGGCGGGCACCTGTAGTCTCAGCTACTCGGGAGGCTGAGGCAGAACAATCACTCGAACCCGGGAGTCAGAGGTTGCAGTGAGCCAGGATCACACCACTGCACTCCAGCCTGGGTGACAGAGCCAGACTCCATCTCAAAAACAAAAAAAATTAGTTGGGCGTGGTGGCACATGCTTGTAATCCCAGCTACTTGGGAGGAGGATAAGGCAGGAGAATTGCTTGAACCTGGAAGGTGGAAGTTGCAGTGAGCCGGGATCGCGCCACTGCACTCCAATCTGGGCCACAGAGCGAGACCTTGTCTCAAAAAAATATAAAAAGTAAATAAAACCAAAGGTAAGTATTGCAATTGGCATATGCTTTGATCTTTTATGAAAACCAAGATGGAATAAGATAGAAAAGAAGAGGGCGGAAGGGGTGAGGGAGGGAGTTAGAGTTCTCATAGGCTCATAAGGGGAAATATGCAAATGCAGTGAGATGACACAGTGGCCTGAATTCTGGAGAAAGTCACTAAGAGGACTCCTGGAAATGGTAGGCTGAGTAACATGACAATGTCTGCTCCAGCTTCATAGCAGATAGAGGATTTTTCACGGGATCTTTTCTTACGCCCACCCACAATGAAAGCACAAATAAAGTTAAATCAGAGCTATTTAGAAGTGCTTGTATAGAAAACTAATTTAATAGAAATAGAATCTAAGCCTGTCTTTTTCTAGTCATCTTAACTGTATGCATAGGAAAAGTTAAAGGGTAATAGATTAACATGCTAACTTTTTATCTCAGGTTTGAGATTGGGGCCCATTTTTAATTTATTTTCAGTGTTTCCTACTGTGGCTTTCTTCTGCATGTTTTCTATAATGAACATAACTTTACGATCCTGGAAACAAGATTTTAAAAAACAGATCCATTTCCTGAGCTCTGACAGAGAAGATACTCTGACACTCTTGGTGTTCCAACTATAGCAAACATTTCTAAATCAGCTGGTCATCGAGTAAACACTAAATACAATCAGGCACCCAAGGAAGTAAGCAAAGCTCTAAAGTAAGCTTCTGCCTAAAGGGCAGTTGCCAAAACTAGAGGACTGAGCATCACAGAATCCTCCTGAGGACAAAACCCAGGCAGCCCAAGTTAGGGGGTCCCTTTTCCATACAATGCTGGGACCTCCCTGGGATCTCCAGCTCAACGAACTAAAACATTAAGAACACAGACTCTTTACAGGTGGCTCAAGCCTGTAATCCCAACACTTTGGGAGGCCAAGGCAGGCGGATCACTTGAGGCCAGGAGTCTCGCTCTGGCCAGCTTGTTAGCCAGCCTGACCAACATGGTGAAACCATCTGTACTAAAAGTACAAAAATTAGCCAGGTGTGTTGGCACATGGCCTGTAATCCCAGCTACTCAGGAGGCCGAGGCAAGAGAATCGCTTGAACTCGGGGTGGGAGTTGCAGTGAGCCAAGATCACGCCACTGTACTCCAGCCTGGGTGACAGAGCAAGACTCCATCTCAAATAATTAAATTAATAAAAGCTAGCATGAAAGACATGCAACTCTTCCTTTCACTTGAACATTTAGGGGCCATTATTGAAATTAGGGACCAAGGTTGCCCTAATTCCAACATTTTTGCGTCTTAAAGAATAGGGAGCCCTGGGGAGAGGGGGAGAGGCGGGGGAATGGCCAAGTCAGTGGAGCAGTCAGCACACACACATGTATTCATTAAATCCGCGGCCTCATACAGGTGTAATTCTTGATGCCCCAAAACAATTACAATGGTAACATCAAATATCACTGACCACAGACCACCATATAGATAATAATGAAAAAATGTGAAATGTGAGAATTACCAAAGTAATTTTTTTTTTTTTTTTTTTTTTTT